ATATATATGTATATATATATATTTTACCTCACATCTCTCTAATAAGATGAATTGTTAGCCTTATTAACAGGAAAGTGGAAAATAGTACCAGCTCTCCATTAAACCATTAAGACTGACCATTAATTCATAAACCCAAGTGAACTTCATTTATTCAATCAATAAATATTTCCTGTATACCAGGCACTAATTGTAGGCACTAAAGTTGCAGCAATGAACAAAACAGATGGAGGTTTTTCCTTCATGAAGCTAAAGTTTGAGGAACAAATAAATAAGTAAAATACCTAGTATAACAGATGGCAAAATGCTATGGAGAAAAACAAGCAAAGAAAGCAGTCAGGGTGTGGAGAAAGTTAATTAGGGTAGAAGGTAACACTTGAGCCGGACCCTACGGAGGTCAGGAAGCAAGCCAGGTGGATATCTGGGAAGAACATTCCAGACAGAGATGATAGTATATGTAAAGGAGCTAAACCGGAAACATGTCTGTGGTGTTTTGAAGAGAAATATGCCAGAAAGCATGAGTCAACATACCTATGAGAGATACAGATTTTCTGAGCTTCAAAAGGCCTTGCAGATGCCACATACTCACTCAAGCAGGTCTTGAGATCATCCATGCCATTGTTGTTGGCCTAAGTTAATGGGAGGTTTGTGGCAGCAATGATCCTGGTTCTTCATTCATCATTGGCACCATCTCCAACCTCCAGCATGTAATTGAATTTCATACTTTGGGATCAGTCCCCAAACCTGCTGTAGTTCCCATCTGGCAGTAGAAAAGGCTGTAATGAGGGATCAGGCAGCCATTTGGCCATCAACATGCCTATTAAAATAGCGATGCACACTGATAACTTGTTTAGTTAACCTGAGGGAATGATGGATTCAAGACTGCTGTTCAAACTCTCTTGCAGCGCACCCACATTATACAGAACGCACAGGTAAACTCAGCTTGACATCTAAAAGAGGTAAATCATTGGTCTCATGAGAAATTGTGGCCAGAGCCAAACAAAATACCAGAAGTGTAGCTCTCTTGAGGTGAAATTAATATGTGAATGTCTAGCCTTAAAAAAAAAGACTAAATCAGACCTATAAAAGAATTTATCCCACACCTCTTTTAAATAGAAAGCATTCTCTAGATTCATTGCCAAAGTGATGCATATCTGCCCTGAAAGACGATATTAAAGTACAAATTTTAAAACAGACACATGATAGTCTAGTCGTTTTATCACTCAGTACACAGAATGTAATGTACATTTGGCTTCTTTAAATTGGCATACTCAGCCTCAAAAATGTAAGTTCACAATTCCAGGAATACCATTAATTATAAGACTCTTACAATAATAGCAGCAAATGACATTGTTTTCTTTATAATTACCATACCTGGAAATGTAAAAGCATTCAACTACTATTTTTAAATCATTTCTTGGTTCACATTAAAAGTGAAAATGGGCTTTCTTGTATACATTTCTACTTTGGTTCTGTTCAAAGTGAGTAAGAAAAATATCAAGTGTGATTCATCTTTGGCAAACCTACTTTTCCAGTTAGAAAACAAAACCTTTTATTACCAAAGATCAAATTTTTCCATTTAAAAATTATTTATTTGTCTCAGCCCTTTCTAAAACTTCCCAGCTCTATCATTTTCAACACAATCTGATGACTTGGATTGAAGAACTCTATGTGCCAAGAGGCTGGCCACCATCACAAATGCAAGTCTGTACTCAACAGTCCTTTGTCATCCAAGTATTTCTGAGTTTTACCTTCTTTGAATTAATTAAATTCATGGAATGGAAGTCCATTTAAAAATCAACCAGAGTATAATATTTCTTGTCTGGAACAAAAAGATTCCTCCCTGTTTCCTACTCTCCCACATTTTAAAAAAAATCTTAAAACCCTCTTATATACAAAAAGAGTAGAGTAGGGATGCCCTGTTTCTTCACAAGATAAAATAGTCTAAGAAACAGGAGATTGATGGAAATTAAAAGGTTCTTATTTTTTATAGCTCCTCGTAACTTTTAGTTTAAATTTGTGTCATAATTTCCTTCCCTTCTTAGGTCACTGTCCAGTTAAATTTATATATATATATATATATGAGTTAACATCATATGTTTTGGCATGGTACTAAATGTCAAGGACAAGTAATGAAAAGACAGACATAGTCATACCCTCATGGAGATTATAGAAGTAACAGACATTTGTGATCATAATCTCCAGTTTTGAGTTGAAAAACCAGTCTTGGATAAGCAGTGACTTGCCTGAGGCCATTCAATTAGTAATGGGATTTGAACCAGGGTTATCTGCCTCTAAAGCCCAGGCTCTTCTAATGCCCAGATAAACCAAAGTACTGAATAGATGGTAAAGGTTACAGAAGAGACATTTTCCAAGGTTCCCAGGCTTATTCCATCTGACCCAAATTGGAGGCAGGGAAATATCTATGGTCATTCCAGAGTTGAGCCTTGAAGAACCTCTTAAGAACTGTAAATTGTCTCCAAAAACACACTCCAAAATACCCTTCCATGTTGATGGACCTCAAGAGCATATGAGCAGCTAAGCCCACAGAGTTCTGTAACTCTGAATCCCAGAGCACATAAAGTCCCTGTGAAGGACTTCTCTCCAGGGATCCTCTTTCTGATGCCTTCCGGAAAACTTCCACCCAATGCCAGCCACTGCTTAGCACATAGCAAGAATTGTCTCACTTTCTTCCATTCTCTTCTCTTCAGAAAAAGCTTCTTGGAACTCATGAATGAATAAATGATAACATCCCCTTTCCACAGTATCACTGCATCTATCTCCTGGGGATGCTCTGTCACCATCCTGCCTCAGATCTCCACACAGACAATAAAGAGACCAGCTATGCAAAGTTGAAACTGGTATAGTTTGACTGGGATGAGTTTCATAGTACACAACTATTTTTAATACAAAGCAATCATTTCCTGACACATTCTCCATGATGTGGGAGGACTATTTCATCCTTTTGAAATCATGCTGTGAGCATTAACACTGAATTCCCATCAGAAGAAGTGAAGAAAGCAAGTTGGTTTGCTTAGCATTGCTTTGAGGGAATTCCATTGGTCAAAAATTATTAAATATGTCCAGAATTCTTCAAAGACAATGTCTACATCTCCCTAAACTGAGAGAAAAACAGCATTAAATGGGAAAGAAGTGGCTCATTGCATAAGTGGGAAACAGTGTTTTAATGGTTTTAAAATATTTAAGTATCCTTACCCTCTCCCTCATTCTAATCTATCCCTACCATAAACACACATTTAACAAAAGGGAATGATTTCTGTGGAAAGTATCCTAGATATCATACACTGCTTGACTGAGATATACAGGTGAGAGAAAGGAACGAAGCTCAGCCAGCAGCCTGGAAGCAGATTAAAAGACTAACAGAATCCACTCACTTTTTGTTTTCTACTCTAACTTCTCAACCAAGTCAATAAATATATGATAAATGTGAATTTAGGTCATGGCACTGCAAAATTTAGCCTGCCACAGGAAATTTCTTTAACTTCATTTCAAAGTCTCAAAATGATTCTTGATACTTGGTCTAGGGGCTCAGGAAAAATCGGCTTTCATGTCCAACAGGGGCCCATAGTGGCTGGCTACAGAGGAGGCAGTCATTTCCTATCCAGAGCAGTGGTGTTGAGCAGATGGAGGGGTGCCAGCCAGCTGGCTTCTGGATAGGCGTCCATGTCAGGAGCGGTAGGCGGCAAAGTCTCTTGCTGGGGCGTAGGGCTGGTAGTGCCTGCGGGTGGGCCCAAGCCTCCGGGGAGTCATGTTCATGTAGTCACTCTGAAGGAGCCTGGTCCTTTTGCTCTTTATCTGCAGGGAAGAGGAATGTCCATGTGAAAGGATATGGAGGAAGTCACGGGAGGAGTTCTAAGACTTTGGGGACAACTAATCAGAATATCAGCTGTGAAATGATACTGCACACTGGCATTTCTTGAATGTCCTAGACTTGGACTATGACTGACAGCTGGCTCTTGTAAATTAACTTGAAAAATCTTAGTCAAAGAAATATTTTAGAGAAACATACCCATGCAATACTCAATGCTGTCATTTGACCTGAATTCCAAAAGCATAACATACTCACTATTGTTATTTGAATATACAGGGAGGTTAAGTACTTCCATTGTAATCTTATATTGGTCATTTGCTTAACAAGCCATTTTTCCATAGTCAGCCAAAAAAGGACCTTCAACTCCTCCAGAGTCTGGAACAATCACAAATTCCTAACAGTGGAGTCCAAATCCATGAGAATTACTGTTCTGAACAATTAGCTGTGTTCCTATCCCTTATGTCAATGTAATCTTCAAAGACAATAATGTCGCCTATCTCCATCCGACCCCCCCACCCCCCAGGATGAATTTCTACCATGGGTAGGGAACTAGGAACAACCCTGAACCTGGAGCAAGAGTTACACTTACCATGAGTCTTGGCAAAGTTTTTGCTTGGGGCTAGAAACACCATTTCTGGATGAATGTGACAGTAAAACTTGCATGTTTGACAACAGACATGTAAAAATTCTAAAAATAGCCATCTGGATTTTTGGATTCAGAATTCTCTATTATGGAAAAAAAAAGTGCCTATTTCCTGGCACATAGGCTTGATACAATGAGTATGTAGATACCCTGGACATGCATGACACAAATTCCTGAAGAAATTAATGAATGAACGACTTCAGGCCTGGCCTCATTTCCGTTCACTCCGGCATGAGCCCGTCTCAACTTCCTTGTCAAAGGAGCAGGATTAAGTGTCCCCCCAGAAGGGACTTAAAAACACTGATCTCCTACCTCAAAGAACTAGGGCTAGAGGTCCCATTTGACCTAGTATTCCCCTGCTGGGCATCTTCCCAAAAGAATTAAAAGAATCATACCACAGTGATATATGTGCACCTATGTTTACAGCAGCACAGTTCGTAATAGCTAAAACTTGGGAACAGCCCAAGTGCCCATCAACTTGAAACTGGATAAAGATGTGGTTTTTTAATAAAATGGAGTACTACTCAGCCATAAAGAATGGGAAACTAGAGACATTTATAGCTAAATGGATGCATATTGAGGCCATACTCAAGTGAAATAAATAGGACACACATGTGTAAATACTGAATAGTTTCTCTAGTGTGAGAAACTGAAAGTGTAAATAAGGATTAAAATGCTTAAAATGAATAATTGATAATTTGAAATAGGAAGAAAAGGTCCAAAGGGATAGGAGTGGTGGGAGGGGAAGGGGAAAGGAAAGAAGGGAAAGGAAAATTTATGAGAAAAGGAAAAAAATGGAAACGAAGTCTATATAAATAGGGAAGGGTGGAGGGGTGAAGGGCGCATGGGTAATGGGGAAAAAATAAGAACCAAGATACATCATGTACAGGTACAAGCACCCAATGATAAATGTAAACGTATTGTATACCTAAAATGTACCAATAAAAGAATTTAAGGGAAAAAAACCCACTGATCTCCAAGTTACTAAATGCAAGTAACATATTTTTAGTCTTTATCTTATGGAATTCTAAGCAGCAATCTACACAGTTGGAAACCTTCCATATCCACAGGTTCTTCATCTACAGATTAAACCAACTGCAGAAGGAAAACTTTCAAAAAAATATTTTTTTAATTATTGCTCCTTAAACAATACAACTATTTACATAGTGTTTACATTATATTAGGGTATAATAAGTAATCTGGAGATTATTTAAAGTATGTGTAACTATCACATCATTCTATATAGGTAACTTGAGCATCCATGAGGTTTGATATATGAGAGAGTCCCAGAACCAATCCCATCTAATACTGAGGAGGACTTTACTGTCAGTTGCTCCCTCCTTTTGCAACACTCTTTCTCTTGGTCTTCTGCAGCATCTTGATTTTCATCCTTTCTCTCTGGACACTCCCTTCTTTTACAAGCTCATCCTTCTCTAGCTGTTCAATGTTAGGATTTCTCACAACTTGGTCCTTGACCTTCTCCTGCACTGTATTCTCTCTTCCTAGACAATCTCATCCATAATCTCAGATTACTACCTATTCTTCTAGACTAGACCTCAATAACATTTGGCACTCAAAATGTCTAATTTGAAACTCAAGATATTCCCCTGGGAATCTGCTTCTCTCTCTCAGTGTTTCTCATAACAGTAACTGAAACTATCATGTATACAGTTGCCCAAGATGACCTTCAAAGCCTCGTCCGTGACATCTTGAGCTCTTTTATCAACCCTGTCTCAGGGAACAGGTGGCAAAGTTTGAAGACATTTTTTGGTTGTCACAACAAAAAGAGATGCTACTGTCACCTAGTGAGTAGAGCCAGAGATGCTGCTAAGCACGCTCCTGTCCACACGGCAGTCTCTACTACATCAAACTATCAAGGGCAAAATGTCAATAGTGCCAATACCAGAAAATTCCAAGTTAAACAGTCTGATCATGAAAAATAATTGGATGAAAAGAAAGCAATTGATACAGAATATATCATGATATTAATACTGCTTGACCCTCTTGGCCTAAACCCAAAGATGACTGATGATTTGAACCTAGACACCTAAAAGGATGGTGTTCCATCCACAGATGTAAAGCAAGACAGTGGTAGTAGTAAGAAGAGTAGATTTGAATAGCTATAAATTTAGCCTCAGTAATTTTGGATTTGAGATAATAGATGGATTATCTTCCTTGAACTAAAAAAAATAAAGGATAGCAATATTCACACATAATTGAGGAAATCATTGAGATAGAGATATTCATAGAAACCAAGAATATGGATGATGCTGCTCTTCAAATACCTTGGTTCTACATTTCTTATATAAGTAAAAGACTAGAACTCCTTGGGAATAGGGTTGTAGCATGGCATTGGTGAGGCCAAAGAAATGTGTTCCCCCAAATAAATATAGAAGACAATACCTTAGGAAGCATTTTTAGTGCTTTGAAACATTTACTCCAACGCTCAGGAATCCCTTTGCAAAATCTCTAAGTGACAGATCTTGCCTCTGGCCACTCAAACAAGACTATAGCTGGTAGAGGGGCCCCACTAATAAAGATGTTTTGACTCTGGGCTATTCTAGATCCCATATAAAGGTGATGAAAGATCCACTGCAGTCAGCTCCCATGCTTACCCCCACACTGTTATTAGATGGTAGATTTAGCTAGCTTCACTTTGACTCTAAACACAACAGTAGGATGAAAATGGCACGTGCATGCTGAGAATGTTATTAGTGTCCATGTGCATCTAGTATATGCACGTAAGTGTGCACAGAGTAAAAACTTTGTGTCCATGTGCCTATATTGTCTAGCCCACCTCTTTACCAGTCAACATCTATTAAAGGTATGTGATTGCAAGACCACTTCTCCTTTTCCCTTCCTTCCAACTCTTCCTTACCCACTTGTTTCCTGGGAGCTGCAGCAGCACACAGGGCATATGTAAAGCAACAAACTGAAATGTTTGGTCTTCAAGAATCTGCTGGATTTAAAGACAGATACTGCCTGTGCACACACTATCTGCTTCCCCACATTGCAGTCTACAGGGAGAAAGAAGACAATATTTTTTTAAAGGTTCCTTTAGACTGAGAAAGGGAACGGGTTTATAAGCTCAGCTGAGTGAATGGAGAACTGACTGAGAATAACAGGTGCTAGTTTATGGCAGCCTGACCAAGAGAAGCTTTTTATTTACTCAAATGTCTTCATCAGGTCAAGAACAGAGATAGAATCTACAGCTGCTCCCAGAAACCCACTCAGTCTAAAACTGCCTCCAGTAGCACATCCCAGGCCCTCAAGAAGTTCCAGAAAATAGCAATTTACACCTAGGCAAATAAACACCAGCCAAAAATAGGATCCCAGAAAATTACCCAGGTAATGGCTAAACTCTAGGAATGTTTACTGGCCTAGGGAACCTAACTTATCAAGGTTCCTGTTGTTTAGACAGGAAAAGATGAGCCCAGGGTAAAGCTGCTGTACTAATCTATGAAATGCAAATGTATTTTTATTTATACACTTTGCTCAGAGAATACAAAGACCTAGATTTCTCATTAAAATGCAGGATGTTCTTGTTAGATTACTGACTACAAGAGCCCTCAGATAACAAGACCTGCCAAGCACTGATATTGCCCAGTCCCAGGGAGCTTATGAGACAGACCAAAATGTTTTCTTAAGACAAAGCAAGATGAATCTAACAAGAATTAGTAGTGCTGCCAAAGAAAAATAATAGCATCTATGATATGTTTGAGTTGAAAGGGAGAAGCTTCTTTTGTGTGATTCCAATTGCTCAGCAAATTAGTGCCTCATTTTAACAACTGACGTTCTAATGCATATTTACAGTAAGTTCTAGGTGATGAGTAGTGTCCTTTGGCTACTGAAAGTTGCAGCAGTTTCCAAAACTACTTCCTGCAATGCTAAAAAATTAATTTGACATAGATCAGCATATTAGAGGTGCACCTTTCCTGGAAAGGTACTCAAAGGGCCATTGCACCTGGCCTTTAAGTTAGGAAGTTAAGATTCCCAAGGAGGAGATTGAAAAGTCATATAACAAGTGTTAAAGCAAAAGGCCAGGGATTATGAAAAAAAGAACTAAAAATTCTAAAATTTCAGCTTGGTACAGTGGCACATGCCTACAATCTCAGCACTAAGGGAGGCAAGTAGGAAGACTGAAAGTTCGAGTCCTTTCTAGGCCACTTAGCAAAACCCTATCTCAAAATAAAAAGGGCTGAGATGTAGCTCAATAATAGAACATCCCTGGGTTTAACTCCTAGTACTGAAAAAATTCTAAAATCATTGGCAACTACCAAAGAGGATCAAAGCTGGAATTTACCTGGGACGAAGACTCCAAGTTTCAGAAAGATGAAAGTACTTAACTAATATTAGAGGCAGAGCTTAGTCAATATCTTTTCATACTAAACCCCTCTCCCTCCATCAGAATTGGGCAACTTGCAGAAGCCCTGCCAGGCAAATTCTCAGATTGATATCTAGTATAAAAAAAATCATCAAGAACAAGCAACCACTCTGTTCCCTGCCTGGCAGAAGGTATAGGTTAGGCAACAGGCAGCCTGACAAATGTCCATCTGCCCCTCAGGGTCTTCTAAAATGTAAGGAGCAGATGGGACAACCAAGAGACAAACTTTGGTAATAAGCCAACAAGAATTTAGATGAATCTAAGGTGGGGTGATAGCATGACTATGAATCCAAGACTGTCCCCTGCACCAAGGCTACATAGTACATAGGATGCTTCACATGGTATTGCCTCCTGAAATCACTGACCATCTGTGGCTTAGTTAAATATAAGAATTGTGCCTTAGTAGTGAGTATCATACTTCAAGCAGGCTTATTTAAGTCCTTAATTTGGCTTGCATGTGGGTTATCCATTTATCAATCTATTAAGCATTCATTAAGTGCCAAACATACTTAACACTAAATAGCTTGAGAATAACAATCGAAATAGTTCTTTCTCCTTGAGAAGCAAACATTTCTCATTGAAGAAGTTACTCATACACACCTAACTTCTAGAAACAATTCAAAGACAACATGGAAGCAATATGTGAGGTATTCTGTACCACACTGTGTACAATAACAAAGAGGTTTCTAAGGAAAAAAATTCTTACTAATGAGGTCCCTTCTTAACAGTGGGTATGTTTGGGGCCAGGGATTTAGCTCAGTGGTTCCGCTGCCTGCCTTGCAAGCACAAGGTCCCAAGTTCTATCTCTGGTACAAAAAAAAAAAAACAGAAAGAAAAAAAAACAGTGAGTATGTTTATCAGAATGTGTTCAAATCTGGGCCAAAAGTTCAACATTGAGGAAAGTAAAGAAAATTACATTAAGTTCATTGTATGAGCATTTGCAAAAACTAGCAAACTCAAACTCAGTAGTGAGATCTCAGAAAAGTCTAACTCCTGCTATAGTTTCATAATGACACCACCCTCCGCAGCCTCATACAATCCAACTGCTTCAGAGGAGACAAAAATTATGACTGAGATAAACAGATATAGTTTCTTCTAGGTTTGAGTATACAATTTCAGTAGCCGAGTTTCTCATGAGTTTTGACCCTGAACCAAAGCTGTTCATAGTGTTCAACTGCCTACCTTCCTGAGTTGCCTAAATTTTTATACCTTTGCATGCATTTGTTTGTGTGCCATAATTATGTTAAAAAGTGGGAAGAAGAAAGGTAACAGTCTTTTATACCCTCATCCTAATTTGACCATTCAGCCTCTTATTTTGTTTGGCCACCTACTCAGTGCCTTCTGGAAAGTGGAACTCACATCAGGTTTTTACTTCAGATAAAGCGGAACAGACTGAAAGACAGTCTACTCAATCCTGGCAGGGCAAATAAAATAATAGTAATCACGTGTTAAACAGAAAACAAACCACCCAGGCAAAATTCTTGATTTGTTCAGATTGCATGTCCAGTGGAAATGTTACATGAAAACAGCGCTGTTTCTCTTACCCAATACAAATAAAAGGCCATTGTTACTACCACACTATAGAAAGCCACGACTCCTCCAACCACTACCACTGTCCAAAAGGGCTTAGATTCAGGACACAGGCGAACACAAGGATGCGGATGGTGCCTCTCTGAAAAATAGAAGGGAATGGAATAAATGGTAAGGGAAAGGCTGTTAAGCACATTTTCCTCCTGAACATCAGAGAACAATGGTAAAGAAATAAAAATATGCAAATTTCATTAGTTTATCATGTATAGACTTGTTCTTTGAGGCTTATCCATCCCTACCACTGACAATGATCTTTTAAAACCATTGCTTCAAGGGGGTACACCCCTAGAGTTGCATTCCCCTGACTTTGTTGAACTCATTGTGTTTAAAATAGAGACTTCCTCAGGCCTTAACCTAACCCCACTATCTTCCCTTATCAGAAGATCCTAAAGTATATCTTTGAAAGGAGTTAAATGATGTACATGTTTTAAGCTTTAAGAAAATCATCTATGTTCTATGACAGAACACTGGGCTAGTAATCAGAAGACAAATGTCTAGCTCCAACTCTAACAGGTTATATAATGACAGAAAAGTCACTTTATGTCTTTGGGTATCACAAAGGGTATGGGAAGAAACCTAAAGAGTTCTATGCAAAAATCAGATAAAATTGTAACTACAAAGAACACCAAAAGAAAAGAAAATTCTGTAGTCCATTAATTTCTAATCTTAGAGGCCCATCAAAATTATCTGAGGAAGTCTGAAAATATAACAATATCCAGTGCCCCTTCCTCAATATACATTAATTACATCAAAATGTCAAGGTTGAGCACAAGCATCAGTTTTTTTCTTAAGCCTACATACATTTTATAATATGAAAAAAGAACTGATAATTACTGAGTCCAGGATCACTGATATTCCTTCCAGTTGTAATGTAAATGATATACTGTGTGCATATGCATATATTATAAAATACTATCCAAAAGTATTATATTATGTATATGGGAAAATGTTTTACTCTTAGCTTACAAAATTAAATGTTTTTAGGCTTTGACTTTATCTAACCAAAATATTCTGCCTGGACATCATAGATATTAGAAGTCTGAATAGGACTTGGCAAGAAAAATATTCTTTCATTAATTTCCTCTATTTCACATTATTTAGCTTTTGGTGTTTTTCCAGCACAGCTCTGTTCTGGCATAGGAGGAAAATATGTATTAGAATTATGCTAGTATTAAATATAAAATCTAGCATCATTTCTTATTTATCATTATACAAGAAAGAAAAGCTGCAGTATATTCACAAAGTGTACCAGAAAATCTATGTGACCTCTCTCATTTGTAAGTGTTGACCCATTGCTTCTTGGCCTTTTGGCTAAGATCAAGTGTAGTATCTGTAAGTGTTGACCCAGTAAGCTGTATTCTTCTGAGCTTAGGAATCTTAGAATATTTCTCCCCAATGTTTTCAGATGACAAAAGCTCAACATCAACTCCAATCATTCATGAATACTATTTAATAATATTGAGTTTGGTCTCATAAAAAAGTTGAGCAACTTATCTAAAATCACTGAGCTGTTTAATAGCAAATGTCATTTCCCTGGTGTTTAGTCCAGCACCCTTAGTATGTTTCAGGAAATGGAAAGGTAAATAACAGACCAAAGACACAGAGCACAAAAAGAGAATTAACTTGAAATATGACTCATTCTTTGAGTCCTGATCCATTGGACCTAGCTGCTTTTTGAAGGGCACCTGGGCTTGCATTTTAATGCAAACTTTTTTCTGCAATGACCTACTTGAATTAAGAATAATCTTATGTTATCTATTCCTATAGACTGACTGTAACTGCATCTCTCACTCTCCCACTGGATGTCAGTGAGAAAAGTAAAGATATTCAAAATATAACTTTGAAGCCAGGCATGGCAGTGCATGCCTGCAATCCCAGCAATCTGGGAGGCTGAGACAGGAGGATCACAAGTTTACACCCAGCCTGCGCAACTTAGCAATTTAATGAGACCTTGTCTCAAAACTTTTTTTAAAAGGCTGAAAGTGTAGCTCAGTGCAAAGGCTTTGTGTTCAATTCCTAGTACCACAGTAAAAAATTTGAATATATATATATATATATACACATACATATACATAAATATATCTTCGAATCTTTTACTTTGAATTTTATCTAAAGTACATGAAAACATTTTTTGATATCATGATTTGATATGTCTCTATTAGTATGAAATCCCTTGAGACCATTGCAGCTTTACAGTGGTCCTGGCCTAGTTTTCAGAGCTGCAGCTGAAAACCATGGTGTTGAGGTGGTACAAGGGTAAAGTTGCACGTTACCTATCACATGGATAATGGTTCCATTGCTCTTCTCATCTAGGTAAGGAGGAGGATACATGACCTCAATTTTGCAGAAGTAAATATCTGTTTGGTTAACGAACAAATTCCGGAGGTAGAAAGTCACTGTTTCGTTGTCCAAATTCCCATCACAGTTGAACCCTGTATTTGAGTGAAACTGAAGTGGATGGGAGAAATTCCCATTCACGACACAGACTTCCACAGCGCTATCCACACCCTTGTACAGGGATGCCCGGAACTCCTTTGAGAAAAGGTTGTAGGTGTACTTGCAGCTAAGGTTGACCTCATTGTCATACACCACAAGCATGGGTGACTGCTTCACCAATATCTTGTTTTCTGGGGAGAAAAAGCATTAAAACAGGATGATAAGAATCATTTTTTCCTGATACAGTCATTAACCAAACAAATAGACCTCCAGCAAAGCCTTTCTTTTTTATATTTTCACCTTCCTTTGAATGGAACAATAGAACATATTTTCACCTGAAGGCAAAATGTGACTTTCTGTTGACAGTGAGCACCACAGCTATGCACTCAGAATTTTTGAATCCATATTAAGATTCCTAAGATGTTGATCATGCACTGATTTCCTGATTTAGCGATGTACTTGGAATAACTTTAAAGCCTGACACAGACATACAAATAGATTTGTTTTTAAGTAGTGAGACAGTTTTTTTGTTTGTGAAGGAATTAAAAATTTTTTCTGACAAAATAGATTTTATTTTTTTAAATTAATTTTATTGGTACATTTTAGGTATACAATATAATGACATTCATCTTTGGAAATTTGCACATTTACATAACGTCTCTTGGTTCTTATTTTTTCCCCCTTCCCCTGCCCTCCCTTCAATCCCTCCATCCCTCCCTAAGGAATTAAAGGATTAAATTCCCATTAAGGAATTTAAAAATTTTGAAACATTTTGACTTTTTATTGGCTATTCCAAGAGTGGCTAAAAAGGTAAGAAAAAATGTAAATCAAAGAATTCGCTCTTATTTCTCTTCTATAGCAAATTCAGAGAACAGCCTCCTCAATAAATTTATATATACTCTTAAATCTCAGAGGATGGAACCATGAGAGTTATCTCTCTAGTCAACTTCTACCTTTATATTACCCAAATAAGAGATCAAAGAAGCCAGGTGTTATGACACATGGCTATAATGCCAGCGCTCAGGAAGCTGAGGCAGAAGATCTCAAGATCAAGGCCAGCCTGGCATATATGAAGAGACATTGTCTCAAAAAATAAAAATAATATTTTAAAAAGATTGAATAATCTGGAGACTATCTAATTCAGTCTCTCACTTTAAAGGCAAAGAAACTGAAGCTATGTTATAGCTCCAAAAAAGAAGAGAATATATTGATAGTTTCTTACTTTATCTGCATTGCTGGCACATGACAAAATAGTCCTTTTTTTTTTTTTTAATAAATGGCTATATGAGACCTAGAAATATTAGGTAGTATAAAAATCACTGAGAAAATGGTGTGTAAAGCCAGAACTAAACAGCCACTCAGCCACACCACCTAAGAAACAGATCACTTAAGCATTAACAATCAAACTTGGAACCAAAAGATGCTACAAACTTCTTTCTAAAACAATTTTTTGTCTTTGATTGAAATTTCAATACAGACATTTTCCTATTGTTTTAGGGGTATTATCTGCATATTTGCATTTTAAATAAAAGATCATTTGAAGCAATACCTAGACTGAAAAACCAAATAGGACCAGACTCTATTAAAATGAAATTTACAATTTAATCTGGGTTTGAATTCATGTGGGATTTGTGGGGAGTTATTTTGCTTTTGGTTTTGCTTTGGGTAGAAGACAGCTGCATAATAGAATTATATGCCCAACAGCTCTTTGTCTAAAGTACCAGGGACTTTAAAAGGAAACCTATGTTCAGGTCCTCCCACTCCCAAAAATTCTGATCGAATTGGTCTAGGTTGGGATGGTGTGGAGGGGAAAGTGTTGATACTGTTTGTTTGTTTGTTTGTTTTTTCTTTATTGTTTTTCTTTCCTTTCATTTTGGTAACAACTTCATTGAGATATAATTCTGGAGCCATAACGTTTACTCCTTTAATGTGTAAAAGTCAATGGTTTTTATTTTAGTATATTCATAAAATTGTGAATGTATCACCACTATCTGATTCCAAAATATTTTCATAACCCTAAATGGAAATTTCATATTCATTAGCCGTTATTTCCATTTCTTCCTCTCTCCAACCTCAGGCAAACACTAGTTTACTTCCTGCATCTATGGATTTTGCCTGTTCAAGACATTTCATATAAATGGATTCATACAATATGTGACCTTTTGTATTAGGCTTCTTTCACTTAGCATGTTTTCAAGGCTCAGCCAGTTACAATATGTATCAGAACTTCACTGCTTTAAAGACTAAATAATATTCCACTGTATAAATATACCACATGTTATTTTTCCATTCATCTCTTTTTGGCTATTACAAATAAGACTACTGTGAATGTTTGTGTAGAAGTTTTTATGTGAAGATGTGTTTTACATTTTCTTAGGTATGCACCAGGAGTGGAATTGCTGGGTCATACAATATAACTCTCAGTTCAACTTTTTGAGGACTTGCCAAACTGTTTTCAAAGCAACTGCATCATTTCACATTTTCACCAGCAGTGTGTACAGGCTGCAACTTCTCCATCTCTTCACCAACCCTTGTTATTGTCCTTCTTTTTGATTATAGCCATCCTCATGTTAATGAAGTGGTATCTCATCATGGTTTGATCTGCATTTCTCTAATGATTCATGATGCTGAGCATCTATTCTTGTGCTTATTAGCCATTTTATATCTTTTTTCAGAAATTTCTATTCACATCATTTCCCCATTTATAATAGGTCTGTCTTTGTATTATTGACTTATTGGAATTTGTTGATATTTTTGACATATAATGATTTTGTTTTTGGTATCAGAGATCAAACTCAGGACCTTGTGCTTTCAAGGCAGGCATAGTGCCACTGAGCTAAATCCCCATTTGTTGATAATTTTGAAACAAGTTCCTTGTCAGATATTACATGATTAACAAATATGTTCTTCCAGTATGTGTGTTGTCTTTGGCAGTGCCTTAAAAGTTAGAATTAAGCCGATTCTAATATTCAGTTTAAAAACCCTTGGTTGCCAGACTCATTAAACCAGAATCTCTGGATGTAAGACCCAGGACATCAGTACTTCAAATGTTTCTCCAGGTAATTCTAAATTGTCAGTCAGGTTTGAGAAACAGTAGTCTAACAGATGAAACATAACTGTCTACTCTCAAATTCATAGATTTCCACAGGCATTTCCAACTTCATTTCCTCAAACAAAATCACTCCTAATTGGCCAGATCATTTAAGTCAACATCCCAAGAACACATACAAGTGGTTTCACTTCTAAACTCCATCCACCAACTTCCTAGAACCACTCCTATCTTAGGGGTCAAGACAATTACTGCATGTATCACTCCTTTGCTATTTGGTCAGATTTTACCTTTTGAATACCTTTTGCTTTGTATTCTTCAGTTTGTGTATTTTTTTAAATTCATTTGTTTTCCTCTAAGCCCTAATTCCCAAGCCACTTGAGAGCAAGGACCACATGTTACCCTTCTTTAAAGAATACCACAAGACTAACAAGAACCCATTAAGTAATTGCTGAGTGAAAGATGGTGACTTGACTATATTGTTCTAAATGGTAGCTCAGTCTCACTACTATGCCATTAAGTCCTGTTCAAAACCTGTGTCTCAACAACTTTAGCCTCATTTACTATTCATCCAACAAATACTCGGTAAAAGCCCTGGAAAACCTATCTTGATATGAAAATCTAACTTGTTTTTGTTTAGATTTTTTTCCTTTTACCTAGAGTTGGGTCAGTTCTGACTGAAAGGGCAGGAAATGCCAGCAAATCACTCCCTTTTCAGGGAATGCAGGTTGGGTATTCATATTTCTACTTACTGAGTACCTCTGGAAGTTGTTTCTGTTGCTAATTATTTGGATTCTAATTTGAAGGGCATCAAAATTCTTTCTGACCTGCCTTTGAGAACTGATATAAGGAAAAAGATGAGAAAAGGACTTCTCTGTGGGGATTAAAGGGGGGGGAGTGTGGACAGGGAAACTGAGTGAGGTTGGAGAGAAACCCCCAGATGGCTACCCATCTTGGCCTCCTCCTGCCAGCACCCACAGCCAGGTGGAGAGAAAAGAGGGCAAGCAAAGGAGGAGGAGCCCCAGCACCCAAACTCTAGTAGTTTGCTTAGTGTGTCTTGTCTAACTCAGGCTGTGACATCTTCTCTAAACACACATGGGAGATGAAGATTGATTTCCTAAAAATGAACTCCTTGGGTAGCTCACAGTCTGATGGGGGTGGGGTACAGAAACAGACAACTAGCACAGTGATCTGCAGTTTCTGGGGGCAACTGGGGAACCAGCTAACGATCTCTAGAGATGACTGCTGATCTGAAATGTGAAGAAGGATGCATATGTTGATTGGACCAACTTTTACCAGGTGAAATTCACCATGGATAAATCTTTGGGGCTGAGGACAGGTGGAGAAGCGTGTGTTGAGGTTGAACGTGAGTTAGGGTACTGTGAGGAGGATAAGATAAAGAGGAAAAGAGAGCAATGTAGGCAAAAAAAGATAAGGAAATGAGATAGAATATGGCCGAGTAGGGAATTACAAGGTCCTCAATTTTGCTGGGTCATGAGCTATGGAAGACAAGATTAGCAGAGCAAGCATAGATAACAGCATGATGGGCTTGGGCCCTCTCCTTCAGGTGACAGGGACCCACTGAAGCCTTTTAAGCATAGCAGTGGGTGTGCACAGCCTTTGTTTTGTGTAGATTACTTAAGTAAAAATGGGACAGGTAAATTTGGAGGGTATAAGACTGAAACAATGGAGATCAGTTAGGATAGAGTTATAGTAGTCTAAGCAAAAGGTGAAAAGGACCAAAATATGGTTTTAAAAAAATTGGATGAAGTTGAAAAATATTTACAGGCTAACATTTGCAGAATTCTACATTGTCTGAGGAGTGGCGAGTGAGAAAAAAGGAGTTAAAAATGACTTCTTCAGGCCACACAAACCAACCAATAAGTAGTTATTTTCCTTTTGTCATCTTTTTCTTCAATCATCTCCTCTTCATTACATTACAAAAAATAGACAGCTCAGAAACAAAGGTGAAGTCTACACATCTTGGATTTGAAGACATACTTCCAACCTCAGAGATCACTGCAAAGAAAGTATAAATTATGTCAGGGGTTACTAGGAACACAGTTGACTCCCTTAGAGCTTATTCCAGTGTCTGTCCTTTCTCTGAGGGAGAAGCAGTAGTCTCTCTTCTGAAACTATTTTCCTCCAGAAGGTATAATACATATGAGGAAATAACTGGAAGATAGACTTGTTTCTGTCCAGCACGGAGTCTCTAAAACCTTAGTATTATTGCGATCAGTTGGATTTCTCCTGAGCCCATTTGATCTCAGCACTAAAAATCAGCAACTGCCTCAAGAAGGAAAAATCCAAAACCCCTGTATCAAAGCTGGCTGTACCATATTCCATATTCTCTTCATCCATGGCATATCCCTTACCTGAGGGATGGAAGGAAAAATGCTTTATTTTGTGATGTTTTATACTAACATTTTGTTTGGGAAAGCATTTGAAAACTATTGATTATATAGCTATTTGGTGAAAAAAGACATCTAATTTACTCTTAATATTAATGTTTTCCTCTCTCTTTTGATAACATGATGATTTTTAAGTTAGCTGATCCTTAAACATGAGCATTCAGCTTGAAAGTTTGCTTACTCTTTGCTACTATGTGACTGCCTGCCTCCTACTCTAGAGTTCAAGCTGGTTTCAGAGTTGGCTGATAAAACCGCCTTTTTCAATATTTATATTCTTATACCACTTGCTCCCACCTTGGATCATGTCAATGATTCAGAAAAGACTAAGTCAGAAACTCTCATAGGACATCAAAATCTACATCTGCTTTGGAGAGAAATTTATTTTGGGTGATAAACAAAGATAACTAGTCCCTCTAAGTAATATTGAATATGAGTGAGCATTATGATTTCCAGTAGACACAATAATTTTTATTCCTCTTCTCTTAAAATCGAGCATTCAATACTTCAACTAATTTAAGGATGTATTATAAAATTTAAGGACATATCTAGGTTCAGAAGAACCTAGAGAAATATTTTGCTTCTCCATATGACTGCTTGATTCCTCTTTGCTTTTCCTCTTTGCTAGGAGTGGAAAGCATGCTTTTTTGTCAGCTATTCACTTAACAGAAGATTAAAATCCAGACTATATGAAGAACTCAAGAAATTTAAAAACAAAAGAACAAGAAATACAATCAATAAATGGGCAAAAGGTATGAACAAAAGAAATATAAATTATCAATAATTATATGAAAACATGCTCAACCTCTTTAGTCATCAGGGAAATACAAATTAAAACTTCATTGAGAGTCCATCTCTTCCTAGTCAGAACAGCTGTACAAAAAAATAACAAACGCTAGTGAGGATGTGGGGGAAAGGGAGCTTATGTACACTGTTGTGTACACAAATTTAAATAAGAACAGCGACTATGGAAATCAGTATGGGGGTTCCTCAGAAACTAGAATTACCATATGATCCAGCTATCTCATGCATAGGTAGGTACCCAAAGGAGAACTCAACATACAAAAGAGACACCAGCATACCCTTGACCATTGTGGTACTATTCACAATAGCCAAGTGATAGAACCGGCCTAGGTGCCTGTCAACAAATGAATGGAGAAAATATGGTATATATACACAATGGAGTATTATTCAGCCACAAAGAAGAATGACGTCCTGTCCTTTGCAAGAAAATGGATGAAACTGGAGGTCATCATGTTAAGTGAAATAAACCAAACACAGAAAGACCAATATTGGATATTTTCTCTCATATATGAAAACTAACAACAACACCAGACCTCAATAACCTGGAAGTAGAATAGGGACAATTAGGGAGGGTAGATACAATCAAAACACAATACACTATAGTTATATATGGAATTGTCACAGTCAGACCTAATCATTCATACAGTTAATATGAGTTAGTAACTTTTTTGTAAAAGCAAAAGGAAGCCATTGACGGTTGGGTCCAGTTTTTTAACCACCCGATATATGTGGGACATAACAAATACCTGATAAAACACTTGCAGATTAAAAACACACAAGTGTGAGGGCTGGGGATTTAGTTTAGTGGTTCCAGCATCTGCCTTGCAAGCACAAGATCCCGAGTTCAATCCCCAGTATCAAAAAACACACACACACAAGTGTGTACACATTTACACACAAAAAAGCATACTTCTTGGGCTACTTTGGTATCAGCACACCAGTCCTACCCCTGTAAATATTTTATTTTTCTTTCGTGAGTGGTTAGGCAAGGTTTACTTCGGTCAAACTTACTGAGTTAAAGTGTTGGCCTATCAATTATACTTGCTCATGATCTCAAAAGATTGGCTTGACTGACATTTCTCTAACTGAATTGACAAGTTGTTTTGATGATGAATTTAGTGCTTTGCTTTTCAAAGCCTTTCCTAGCTGCTAAACTAGCTAAAGGTGTGGGGACAGGAAGCAGTAACCTCAAACCTCTTTCCCTCACAACTCCTGCTTGACAACAGGCAATGTAAAGAGTAAGATGGGAGGTAAGAAGGTGCTTATCTCCTCCTTATGAGTGAGATAGTGAGAACTAGAAGACTTCTCACAGATAGTCTGTGAATCTTGTGATATACCCTACTTCTGGAAGAGATTGAACATTGTTGTGCTTCCCTGGGGCGGGGCGGGGGGTTGTTACAAAAAAACACCCTCTTTCCATTTCACCTATTGTAAGTGGGTCAATTACTATATTTAGTAACCAGGTCAGCCTTCTGCACAGGTGGCGTGGATAACCACCTCCAAGGTGTGGTTGCTAGCATCAAAAAACCTTGACCTTAAAGGATGCTCCGCACCAGTTCAGTTCATGCTTGGATTTCCAAAGACGAAGCCTAAAATACAATGTACAAAACATGTTCGCTTAAATTAGTAACTCTGGCCTACATTTATAGAGCTATAAAGCCTTGTGTCCTATTTATTTCATTCATGATCCATATGAACCTGTGACATAAACAGACAAGACAGTCATCCTTAAACCCATTTTCCAGATGGAGCAGTGATGTGAATGAAGTCAGTGAGTTGCTCAAGTACTAGGCAAAATGGTTTCAGGGCAGATAAGTGATGCTTGACACTTGAGTTTATGCCTCATGACAGATTGTAATCTACTATTTTTTCTCTTTCTCTGACATGTTGCATCAAAATTTCAACACGGTTTCAGTGGTTGGTTCTAGATCCTCTCAAAACTGGCTTGATGGAGAAGATGGTACTGAGTGTCTTTAGTGAGAATTAGGGTTACTATCATTGAGTGGAAGAGTAGATGGAATGGAAAGCAGACTTGACCAAGAGAGATTTCATTTTCTCCACCATTTTGATGGAGTTCCATCCTGTAAAAACATAGTCATCTGGAAGGAAACTTTGGAGATGATCTAAGCCAATCCCTTATTTTATAAAAGCAGCTGAAAACAAACAAAAAAGTAAATGACTCTTTGAAAAAGGTCTCACAAATAACTGATGAACCCAGATGTAATTTATTTACTTAGGCCTCTAGGAGTAATACTTTAAATCATGAATAAATAGAAAAGCATCTTCGTTCATTCATTTAGATTGAATTGATATCATGATTATATTTAAAGAATGTACATTTCCAGACTTTTTAATATGTAATGCACCCAGTAGTTCCTCCTTATCCACAATTTTGCTTTCTTCAATTTAGTTACTGGCAGCCAACCCTAATCCAAAAATATAAAATGGAAAATTCCAGAAATAAACAATTCATAAGTTTTAAATTGTGAGCAGCATGATGAGATCTCACTTCGTCCTACCAAGCATGTGAGTCATCCCTTTGTCCAGCACAGGTACAGTATATATTCTACCCTCCTGTCAGTCACTTCGCTGTCCTCTGCATTATGTGTTCAAATAACCTTGTTTATCCACTAATGGCCCCAAAGTGCAAGAGTAATGATGCTGGCAACTTAAATATGCCAAAGTGAAGCCATAGAGTGCTTTCTGTAAATAAAGATGAAAGTTCTCTACTTAATAAGGGAAAAATGCATGCTAAGGTTGCTAAGATATACCATAAGAGTGAACCTTCTATTCATGACATTGCAAAGAAGGAAAAAGACACTTGTGCTAATTTTCCTGTTGAACCTCAAATTGCAAAAGCTATAATCACAGTGAATGATAAGTACTTACATAAGGTATTAATTTATAGGGTGTGGTCTATGGCCATTCCTCCCTGAACATGCCCAATCTCCTCTAATTCATAGGGTGGGGTTTGGTACTCTCCTGAGGTTTTGGGTATCCACTGGGCGGTCTTAGAACACATTCCCTGTGGATAAGGCTAAACATTTTCCTTACAACTTGAAAGACTTCCTGAAGGTCATAGATGGGTCCTAGATAAAGGCTACCGACAATATAGTCACATGAAATGCCTCTTATAAATTATTTCCAATGCATAAGCACTAATTATACTGCTGCAGCTCTTCCATTCCAGTTTGACCAAGTGTGCAAAAGAGACATTAGTGAATATATAAAGTCATTTTTCAGTCCTACCTTCCCTGGACAAATAGTTAACTTCAGGGATTCTGTGAATTATAACTGTTTGTTACAACATTCCATCTTTCCTTTTCTGTATCAAAAGCATCATAGAGAAATAAAATGACACAGAGGCTCACACATAAGTGGAGTAAGCAGCACTCAAGACTGAAGTTTATATTGGGAAGCTAACAAACAAAGAAAAAACACAATACATGTTTAATTAGCAATGTGATTTTCTTACAGAACATTTAACAACTTCATGGGCTTCCATTTATTCATATCACCATCAGAGTTTCTCTTGCAGTTGACGAACCCAGGTTATAAGATTCTAATCATGTTGTTTCCTTCTTAAAATTCTGACAGAACAGAAATTGACAGGTTAAGTAGCAACCAAAGAAAATGAAAGCTTTCTACTTTCAGCCATCTTGCCCTGTGATGTTTGTGCACTAATTGCCCTGGCACAGAACACCGCCCTCCTCACCAAAAACTGGCTAAGTTATAGAAACTTTCCTCTGAGTACAGTTCCTGCTTGGACCTTCGATACCCATGGCCTTCTGACCACTTGCTCCTTTTCAGGGTTCATAAGGGGCAGACACCCCCACGAGCCAACTCAGTGTTTGCTCTGCAACCTGTCAGACAAACTGTGCTTTCTGGGAAGAAGGGGACTCAAATGCCTGTGGTAACTCCGGTGACTCGGGCTTCATTAAATGTCAGAAAGAGGAGCACAAAATATTCACTGGACTACAGCACCTTGTGCCATCCTCTTTGAGCAACTAAGACAAAATCAAAGCTACTAATGATCTATCATGCTTTGAATAGCCCCAGACTCTGAAATTTATATTAAAATGAAGAGAAAATATACAGGTTAGTTTCAAAATAAGTTTGTGGTAATTTCATCTCATTTTCTGTTGACTG